TTCCCCTCTTATGCACATTCTGCATGATCCCACTCGCGGTCCCAACTAGGAGACCCCCCCCCCCCCCCTCTCCACAGGGGCTCCCTCCCGGACCCTGGATTAGGCGCAAATCACACCCAAACACCTCTTTCCACAGAGATCCTTTAAGCGGGGAAGAAAAGTTAAAGTGACTCCTTTCTGACTCAGGCAGAAAACAGCAAGCAGCAAATGACCTCGTGGGTGTAATTTTTCAGAGGAGTAAAGGGAGAGGTCTGTGTTAGGATGGGCTAGGATGCAGGCACATGTTAATTACGGGAACCCAAGCAGGCTTATGATCGCTGGACTTTGGTACACATCCTCAGGAATGGGTCTGGCATAGGAAAATGTCCAAATAAGGGAACAGACCTTGGGGGCTAGTTTTAGGGATTAATCTCATGATTTTTTGGTTTTTGTTTTTGTTTTTTTAGCAAGGCAGAGGGAATGGAGAGGGGAGGGCAAGGCCTGCCAGTGTCACCCGCTCAAGTGGTCTAGGGTCCCTTCAGTGCCCCTCCTACCTGCAGCATGTATACGTGGAGTCCTGATGGATTTTAACTGGGGTCGCTTACAGGAGCATAGCCAACTTACCAAGGACTACATCACTGAAGAAAATGTCTCCCTCTCCTTCAGCAAATACTAACTTCCAATAGTTCTGTGCCTGTGATAATCATATCCACCCCAGATTCCTCCCCCCACTACCCCAGATCCCTCCCAATATGTAGCCCTCCCCACTTCATGTCTTCTCTTGCTTTGTTTGTTTTGTAAGCCATTGTGTCCAGTTAGTGCTGCCTTCTAGAATTTTGACTGATACTGTTGGCCTGATCTTGTGCAGGTTAACACCTTAAGTGCAGGTTCTTCATGAATGTAATAGCCATGTCATGGCCTGAAGACAGCACTTTATAGCACTTCCTCCCCCTTTCACATTCGTCCCACCCCCTCATCCACGTGTTTTCTGAGCTTTGAGGAGGTTCCTAGTTCCTAGTTCTTAAAAAGGGGAGGGGAGAGGGACCATGACTGAGAATCAAACCCAGGACCTCACATGTACTAGGCAAGCACTTTATCACTGAGCTACAACTCCAGCTGTTTGTTAGTCTCATTATATGAAGAACCACACACACAGGCTGGGAGGTGGTGGTGCTCACCTTTAATGCCAGCACTTGGGAGACAGAGGCAGGTGGATCTCTGTGAGTTCAACACCAGCCTGGTCTACAAGAACAATTTCCAGCACACAGTCAGAGATACACAGAGAAACCCTGTCTCAAAAAACAACAAAAAAGAACGACACAGGATGACAATTGCATCTGTGTGACTATTTAACACATCAAAGTGGACTCGGCCACCAGGTTCTCCCAGCATCCTTTAGTCCCTACCTTTTACAGGGCCCTCCTGGCTGTTGCACCCTGACACCTACCCTGAACTCTCCACCCCAGGGACCAAGCTGGCCTTCCCTGCATACTCCAAGCATCTCAGTTACTTGCCCTCTTTGAACCTTTGGGCCTCCTGACTGCTACATCTGATTCCCATCCCCTCCCACCTCCCTCCTCACATGACTGAGCACAGTCTGGCCATGTCCACTCTGGACTCTCCCAGATGTCCCTGTCCCTGACAATAGCTATGTTGTCCCACATATCTGCCTTCTCCTCCATCATACATAGGAGCAGTCATGTTCCCTTTCTTTCCCTTTTTATTTATTTATTTATTTTTCATTCACAATGATTAAAGCAAGCTGTGCTTTGGAGTGCACCCCGGCCTGGCAAGTTCAGCTGCTTCTCCCTAAGTCGGGATTTAAGACAGCAGCCCCTGCCTCTTGAGGTCCCTTTTACAGGAGAGAGAAGGTGTTCACAGGGGTGGGAGAGTTGGCTGTTATACATTGCTAGAAAGGTACAATGAAAGGGAGGGAGCAAGTGCCAGGATCGTGTGAATGGGATCACAAGTTTAGTGTAGGTTGAAAAACATGTTTTCCAGAAACAGGAACTTATTCTTTTTTTAATTTGTTTATTTTTATTTTATGTGCATTGGTGTTTTGCCATGGGTGTTGGGTCCTCTAGAACTGCAGTTACAAACAGTTGTGAGCTGCCATGTAGGTGATGGGAATTGAATCCAGGTCCTCTGGAAGAGCAGTCTGAGCCATCTCTCCAGCCCAGGAACTTACTCTTAATTATAAATAGAAACTTGCAAGGACTTAAACACAGAACAAACAGGAACTTATTCTTTAACTACAAACAGAAAACTTAACCTGCACAGGGCAAACTTACTCTTCATTGTCTTAACTGCAAAGAGAACCCTTAACCTACAAGGTATACTGTTCCTGTTTTGGTCTCACAGTTGTTTGAGCCTGGGTATCCTCATGTAACTCTGGCTGATCTGGAGCTTCTTGGTCTTGAACTTGAGATCTTCCTGACTCAGCTTCCTGAGTGTTGGGTTTACAGATGTGTATCTCAAAGGAAGTAGACAGTGTTTCTGACAAAGGAATTGTCCTCTGGCTTGAACACTCATGTATACACACATGCACTGTAGACATATGAATACACAGTATTTTTTTAAATGGCCTTGAGCTGGCAAGATGGCTCCATGGGAAGCACTTGTGCAATTCTAAAATACTGTGTGAGTCCCTAGAACCCACATGACGGTGGAAGAAGAGCTGACTCCAGGAAGCTGTCCTCTGACATACGCATTCACCCACACAAAATAAGTGAATAAAAATGTAAATGGCCTTCTAGCCACTGAGTATGGTGGCACACTCAGAAGGCAGAGACTGGAGTGTTGCTGCAAGTTCAAAGTCAGCCTGATCAACAAGCTCTAGGCCAGCTGGCGGTGTATTGAAAATCCTATCTTAAACAAACAAACAAAAACCCAAAGCTGTTAGCTTATAAAGATGAGGACACATAGAAAGAGTATCATGTGTCTACACAGGCAAGAACCCAAGTATAGCGGCTGCCAGCTACAGAACCCCAAGACCAGAAGTATGGAGAGGCAAGGCAGAATGCCCCCACACCTGGGTTTCAAAAGGAATATGATACAGTAAATCCCTGCAGCTTTAAACCACCTTATGAGGGACACTCTGCTCCAGGAGGCCATAGGAAATGCAGACATTCTACAACGAATAGGACACCATACTGTTTACTAAGGATTGGGACCTGGATGCTTGTGGCAGAGCTAAGGCGGGTGGTAAGAGTACTGATTTGATAAGAGTACCTTGGGAGGGTTTGAGGACTAGTCTTGGTTGTTGACACACCTGGAAAAGGGAACTACAGTTAAGAATTGCCTCCCATCAGATTGGCCTGTGCGCATGTCAGTGAGGGCATTTTCTTGATTACTGATTGATGTGGAATGTTTAACCCACTGTGGGAGGTGCCATCCTTGAGCAAGTGGACCTGTATGTAAAAGAAAGAGCTGGGCTCTGGTAGCATCAGAAGGAAGAGAGAGTTGTGAATTCAAGGCACCCTAGTCTACACAATGAGTTCCAGAACAGCCAGGGCCACATTTCAACATTTCAAAAAGGAGGGGGGAGTAAGGGGGGAAAGGAGGGAGAGAGGAAAAGGAAGGGAGAGAGGGAAAGAGGGGAGAGAGGGAGGGAGAGGGAGAGGGAGAGAATAGAGAAAAGATAGCTGGGAGCTGGAGAAATGGCTCAGTGGTTAAAAGTGCTTTCTCATCTTACACAGAACCCAGATTCAATTGCCAGCTTCCACACGGTGTCTCACAACCATTATAACTCCAGTTCCAAGGGACCCAATGCCTGCTTCTGACCTCCCCGGGCACATCACATATGTGATGCACATACATACATGCAGGCAAAACACCCATACACATAAAATAAATATAAAAGTACTTTTAAAGCCAGAATGTTCGATGCCCGGCCAGTCTTGCCGAAGCCAGGAGCTCAAGGTTTAATTTTTTCAGTCTGTGTCTCAAAAGAAGGTAGGTAGTGAGAGAGGGAGAATACCTCATGTGTACCTGTGGTCTTTACAAGATCATGCACACACCACATGTGCACACATACACTAAATATACAAATCCCATCCACTCACCCCCAAAAGAAAAATGTAACTTTTTAACTTATTTGGACTTTTTAAAAGGTTTGTTCTATTTTATGTGTAAGTATTTTTGCCTGTATGTATGTATATCTGTACACCATGAGTGCGCCTGGTGCCCAGGAAGGCCAGAAGAGAGCAATAGATCCCCTTGAACCAGAGTTACAGAAGGTTGTATGCTGCTATGCAGGTGCTGGGAATTGAACCTAGGACTCTAGAAAAGCAGCCAGTGCTCTTACCCAGGAGTCTCTCTAGTCCTGGAAAAGGAGCTTAACTGGTTTCCTAAAAGGCTCTTGGAGACAGGACCAGGTTCTCAGGGCACGGTCAGAAAGCCACAGCTGTTTGCTGTGGTAGACAGGGACTTCCTCTCCTGTTCTATGTGGCAATGAGAGACTGAAGACACTTAACTTGGCCTTTGAGGGGCAGATGAACAGGAGATCTGAAGTTTCTTTCAGGGTGGCCCTAGGGGTGCTACAGGACCTCAGAGGTGGTGAGGATCATGAGCCAAGTTGCCTTGTGTGTCTGTGGAGGGTACAGGGATTTGAAGAGGAGTTGTAGACCCCTAACTACCTCCTTGGCTATCCCCCTGCAGATGTCACCTGCCCTGCAAGGGGATGAACCTACAGACAGCAACTGGATGGCTTGGGTAGGGACATTGTGCAGGCTCCACCCTCCTGTTGGTTGGTCTTCAACATTGCACTGGCTTCTTCCTGGCCCCACTTGAGAATCCTCAAGGCCCTGTGAACATGGCTGTGCCCAGTGAGGTCCTAACAAAGACT